TTGCGAAAAAGGTAAAAAGATGAATATTTCTAATAATCTTTTGCTGAATGTTAGGGATATAAGTATATAAAGCCTATGCCAATCACCTATCGTTAGGCTGTTAGTAGAGTGGTAGACGTCATTGATCGTTTAGCTTATTTACACCTGAAGATTTGTTCTTACAGATAGGAGAGGATCATATATAGAGATTTGGACCGATAAAAGTAGTGGCTATTTCTACGGACAAGGAGAAATCCAACAAAAAGCTTCCAGATATTGATATCTTCACATTGGAATTTTCTCTTGGAAGATGGAGTTCCGCTGGTTATTACGTGATACAACCAAAATTTTGTCATAAATACTAGTTGGAAACAAAATGAATTATAAATTATACACTTCACGCATGATCTTTTATTTTTAAGGAACAATGGTCTTTGTTTTTTCGACTATTGTAAACATGCCTAAGGATTTAAAACAAGACAATATTTTTCTTGTTTTGACCAGGAAATCCAAATTGAATATCAAAGGCCAATAAAAATCAAGTTGACTTACCAAAGAAAGGTGGAAATCAATTTCTGAGTCTAGCCATGAAATTTGAGAGTCGTTCATAAGTATGTGTAAGAATGCATGGTGATCCGGGTAAAACTTGACTAAAGGTAGGTTCTATGACATGAACGTTACTTCTAAACACTCGAGGAAAATGGCGTGTTTTTAGGTGTACTATCAATAGCATGGTTTACAAATGTTTATTTTTAGAGAAAAATATTACACTAACTTGTTGTTTTTCAAACGAGTAATTATACACAAGTTTAAAAAAAAATTATATTTAGATAGTTCACATGCAATGCACATGTGTACCAACTAGTATATAATAAATCTCACTTAAATTCATATTAAACATTTTACCATTGATGAGAAAAAATATTAGAGAGAATCCAAATCCTAATATCTTGTATGAAATACTATGAAGCACAAGTTGAAATGACATATTGTGTGAACCACTAATAATATTCAACCAAGAATAAGAAATGAGAAGATAGACATTTGACTTGGTTTTGAATTTGATTGGATGCAAGAATGATTTTATCTTTTTTAACTTAAGGTTATTCGTTACCTTCCAAAAAAAAAAACCTTAAGGTTATTCGTTAATATTCAATCCAAACGCAGAATTGGTAATAGAATAATGGACTCACACCTTATCCCGACACTAAGGGTAATTTGTGTTTGAAGGCACGGTGCAATGTGACTGGTTTTAAGAGGGACGTTGGTGACAATTGAATGAATTCATTTGAGACCGTCGGATGGACTTACTGAAGCAAACCCTATTTTATATTATTGATTGGTGCAAACAAAATATATATATGATTAGCATAAGCATATAGACAAAGTATTAGGTGGTGTTTGATAAAACTGAAAGCTGAACATTAAAAACTGAATACTGAATTTTAAGTGCTGAATGCTGAATTTTTTAATTCGCAGACTGTTTGGTATCAATTAGAATTTAAGTATTGAATTGAATTAAACTGTTTGACAAATATAAGGAGCTGGAATCTGAAAATTATTATTATTCTAATTTTGTCATTCTTTTTCACCCTCTCTCCATAACTACCTTATTCCTACCATCACCATCATGATGGTGCCGGTGATGGTAGTGGTGGTGGTGGTGGTGGTGGTGGTGGTGGTAGTGGTAGTGGTAGTGGTAGTGGCGCTAATGGTGGTGGCAATGGTGGTAGTGGTAGTGGCACAATGATGATGGTGGTGGCGGCGACAGTGGTGACACAATGGTGGTGTTGGAGGTGGCACAATAGTGGTGGTGTCATAATGGTGACGGTGGTGGTTGTGATGGTGGTAGTAGTGGTGGTGGTAGTGGCGATGGTACAATGGTAATTACGGCGACACAATGGTGGTGGCGGCATAATGGTAATGGTGACGACGACAGAATGGTGGTGACAGTGGTGGGGGTGGCAACGGTGGGGGTGGCACAATGGAAATGGTGTGGCGGCAACACAATGGTGGTAGTGGTGGTAGTGGCATAATGGTGGTGGTGTAAGTGGTAGTGGTGGTGGTGGCGGGAACAACACAATGGTGGTGGTGGAACGGTGGTGGCAACACAATGATGGTGATGGTGGATGGTGGATATTGAAAAGTTAAGAGTGTAAAATGCATTGAGGGTATATTTGTCAATTATGAGAAATTGATAAAATCCTTACCGACTAACATTTTCAGCATTAAGTGATACGTAGGTGACTTGTTACTTAAAATTTTAGCTTATTTTTAAAAAATACTTAAAATATTAAGTGGTATGAGTTTTAGATTATCAAACGAGTTTCATCCATTAAGTGCTTAAAGTATTCAGTTTTAAACCTTAAGTGGTATTATCAAACTCCGCATTACTACTCGTTTAGATTGGGTTATACTAAATTGCCCAATCTTACCACCTCATGCTATGCCTAAACGATACTATGGGGCTATTTGGTTTGCTAGATTTGGGGGATATCTCCCTTTGATTGGGTAAAATAACTTCCGGCGTCCAAACTTTTCATGTGTTGACAATGATTTTTCTCAACAGGATTATCAATTTAGACCCACAATTATCATTGCAGATGACCTCATGTACATGAGTTTATTGAAACCCACCTAGGGTTGGTATTTAAATGGGTGAATTGGGAGCCAAACTAAAATTACTAATGTGTCATTACATCAAATCATGCACTTCATTGGATGAAAGACAATATTGTCAAATGTGGCATTTGATTTTATGTTGTATCACGAGACTCCCATATTTCTTCTATTCTTATCCAACCAATCCCAAATATGGGATGATATGGTAAAAACATATCACATTCATATCCAAACCTATCTCAAAACTCCAATTGTATAGGCTTAGATTAGTCTTACTAAACCAATCCAATCTTGAATAGTGAAACTTACCAAAGGGCTCCCATAGGTATTGTTGGAAAATTTACAATTATTTGTGCAAGAAATGTAACAAAAGGATGAATTTGGATCTTATTTTGTAAATTTCCTTTTCAATTGAATTATCCATGGATTCAAATACAATACATAATAAGTGAGTTCTATTACATGATCGGTGATTAGAGCTGGTAATTGAGTCAAATTACTCAGGTTCTAAATGAGCCAATCTAGAATTTTTTTTAAGGAAAGAGCCTGAAAGGCTTGCCTCGAACTTACATAGCTCGACTCGTTTATATGTTTGTTTATATGTAAAATAGGCGAACTACTCAAGCTCGGCTCGAATTCAGTTTGTTTCAGGTTCGAGTTGACACATTTTCTAAATGAGCCAAACTTAAAACATTTTTTGACTTATTTAGAAAAATGAGCTCAACAGGGTAGACTTAAGCTTGTAAAACTCAGCTCGATTATCAATTATATCGGTGATCTATTATTAATAAATTGATAACAAGTGTATTGAAAGAGATCTGAAATTATCCAGGATAGATTATCTTAATACAAGAAAGCTCCCCATAGACATATCATAAATCACAATAGACAGATTTGAAAGGAATATCGTTAGCCTCTATAAAGTACGGTTTCATGCGAAATTGAAGGTATGGTCATGTAAAAATTTTCTAGATATGCATCATAAAAATTGGAGACAAATTAATTCATCACTATTCATTAAAGTCCTATATCTAACGAGGAACTTGAAGTGTATTTTAAGGGTAATAATACTAATTGAATTTAGTTTGAAGATCTAATTTAACTACTTAATACATTCCTTTCGTTGATTGGAAAATAGAATGCACCGTGTGTTGAGTCTTAAAATGAAATTACATGATTAGATTTAAGTAGCGTTGCTCAAAGAGTGCTAAGAGTGGGGAAGAGGAACACCAATATGCGTGTAACTCAAGTGGGCTTAGTGGGTTGGGCGGTCAACATGGGTTCAACCCAAGTCCTAAAATTTTCAATTTGAGCCAAACTCGAATCAAAATTCAACTTAAACTTTTCAACCACTATATTATCCTTATTTAGAATTTTGAATCAATCTTGATGATGCACAAAATATTAAGCACAATCAAATCAATCAAGTGTGTGACGTAAGACAAATACTGAAACAATTAATAACAGAGACAAAGATTGGGTGGTTGGGTTTGGGTGACCTAACCACTGAATACGACAACGGTGGCTGAAATTTTTATTAATAGAGGATATAAGGTAGTAGGAGAGAGAGAAAGAGTAAGAGTATGCTCAAGGTGTAGTGTGTCTTCCTTGTGTAAAGTATCTACAATTTATAATCATAGAGCCCTAGATGACACGTGAAAGTCAAACTACTAATCATCCAGGGAGGATAGCTATAATTGGGAATATGCACTATCATGGAGTCATGACTATCTCAATGATTGCTTTTCCATGTGTGTTGACCCTTCCTGGATTCTTGAGGTTCGGATTGGACCTAAGGCATGAACTAGGCTTGGCCTTTTTGATGATTTGTACTTAACCCGTGATCTGGGTCAAGGCCTAGTTGGATTTGGACTCGTCAGTTGCCCCTGATGACCCCAAACCCTTGTGGTGACAGGGGATTGAGGGCATGAGTGAGCTCTTCATTTAGTAAAATCAGGTATCTTGTTCCACAACCGGTGGCTTCTCCTCAGTTTTCCACCTCATTCCATTTTCAAAACTTCTTTTCCCATTTGGTAACACCATGGTTGGACAACCATTGTACTAGCACCCAATCTCATCTGCTATGTTTTCCATTGGGTCTAAAAATGCTTTATCTCTTCATAGCAAAACCCCCTTTTCCATTTATGGTATCAACCTTATGGCTTTTAAGGTTAGTATATATATAGACCCTTAGCCACCTTTTTTTCTAACTTTTTTATTTGAAGCTTTTCGTTGAGAATAGAGCCCAAAACTCTCCACCCCATCAGCAATTGAGAGAGGTCGAAGAGCACGAGCATGGAGGCCACTAGGAGGATGACGGAGAAGGGCTCCACAGGAGAAACCATAGCAAAAACTCAGGCAAATCCAGGTCAAACACAAAGCGACATCTTGGCGAAGCCATGGGCGATGCCATGAACAACACTACTGGTGCTAGCGATGCTGGCGAAAGGGATCTGAGCGGTAGCACTGGCGGCGAGGATTTGGGCATCGACAATGGTGGGCTGGGCAGCACAGACACAGGCACAAGTGGGCTGGGCATTGTAGGCATTGGCGCTGGAATTGGGGAGCTAGGCTCCGCCAGGCAGCTATCTGGTGTCAGTGGAGAGCAGCGAGTTGATGTCTTTCAAGTAGGTAACATGATCTTGCTTGCCCCTTAATTCTCTCATTATTTTGGCACCCCTTCTCTCTTATTTACATTTGTTTTGGTTTTGACAAACACCCGATCTGGTAGGGGTATGACGATGGACATTTCACAAGCTTCACAGCGAGGTAAGGGAGTTGCCAAAAGTGATGGGTCGAAGGTAACCTTGATTTTTAGCTTCATAGATTGTGACGATGACATTGCTAGTATTGTATCTTCGTTCCATATCCCTCATGCTATTTTGTGTCGCTGGTCTGAAAAGGACGAACTGGCTTGTTATGATTCTTTTGGGGAGATATTTTTCTATGAGAATATCTTGGAGGAGGGAATTAAGTTTCCTATGCCTAGACTAATTTGTTTGGTTTAGGGTCACTTGTCGATTGCTCCAGGGAGGTTGACTCCAAATGGTTAGAGAGTACTTTTGGCGTTCTTTTAATTATGGCGGCTGGTTCATGACGAGGGTGTTTCTCCCCCTTTCGAGGAGTTCTTGGCATCGTATATGCTTCTTGAGAACCCTATTCCTCATCAGGGATGGTATCACTTTGCTTCGAGATCGGGCAAGCAAATCACTGGATTGCCCTCAAATTGTTATAATTGGAAGTCTAGGTTTTTCTTTGTTGGAGAAGAGTGGGTAGCCAAGGAGGAGAGTGATTTAGTGCCTTCGAGATGGGATACTCTTTCAAAGATCAAGCTAGGTATGAGTCTTACTCTTGCTTTAATGCCTGAATGTCATATTTCTCTTGTCTTTATTTCATGTTTGGTTCCTTTGCAGCTTCACCCACATTATCTGAGGAGTAAGAGAGTAGGTTTCAGGTTGTGAGGGATCATCCTTCCAAACAATTTGTAGCCCTTATGTTTGACATGGGACACTCTAGAGCCCTTCCGAGACAAAAGAGGAAATGTATTTGACTCTTTGAATAAATTTGGTGATGCTCATAAATTCTATTTCTTATTCAAGTTTCGCAGGTACTACTATTGATAGAGTAATGGTGGAGGCTCTTTATGCTTTTATGGTGTAGTCTTCCCCTCATCCCAAGAGGGCGAAGCCTAATGCCCCCAATGCTTCTCGGTTGAGGTCTGATGACCATGCTATTTCTCAGTAGGCAGGATCCGGTGGTGCCCCCACTTCTTCTCAGCATGCGGCGCCTTTGAGCGCTAGAGTTAGCCCTAGTACTACTTTAGGGGTTGAGACTCCTGCGCGGTCCTCTGCAGGGACCGGAGCTCCACATAGTTGTCCTACTTTTAGCAGTGGCTTGATGTCTATGTTGTAGGATGTGAACCTGGCCAAGGTGCGACTTTGGAACATTGTGATGATTGCGGATATTAGAGAGGTCGACTCTCGGTGTCCAGAGGGCATTATTGATACTACGATGGAAGGATTTGCTATGGTATCCTTTCTTTCTGTTCAACCTTGATTTCTACACTTCTCCCCCCCCTTTTTTTTATGTTTTGCCTTTTGGATGTTCGTAGGTGGCAGCTATTTTTTCATGCCTTTTTTCGAGGACAATCAAGCTTGGTGAGACATCGAGGGCTTTGGCAAAAGAGAGATAGGCATGAGAGGCTGTTGAGGAGCAATTGAGGTTGGCTCATAATAGAGAAACACCTTTTGAGGTTGAGCTTTTAGCGTCCTGCGAGAGGGTTTCCAAGCTAGAGGCAAACAAGGAGACTACCGGCATTAGAGCAAAAACAGAGTTATGAGCGGCCAGTGAGAGGACCGTACGAGCTAAGGCAAAGTTACAAATAGCTTAAGAGAAGGCTGACGTGGTAGAGACAGACCTGCGAGTAGCTCACGAGAGAGCCACCCGGGCAAAGGCTCATTCAATTGAGATGGAGAGAAAAAGGGAGCTTCTTGAGAGGGTCATCCAAGATCTAAAGTACAACGTTCCAGGCGCTTTTATTTATGGTTATGAGCAGTTTAGGGGGAAGGCTTTGACTCCTTTTTCTGATATTGATTTCTCTGACTTTGTCCCATATGAGGCACTAGGGATAAGTGGTGATGGAAAGAGTTTTGATGAGAGTGGATTGGGGGAGCAGTTAGCGATCATCGGGAGTATGATGACTTTTATCGTTACTTGTCTATCTTTTTGTTGTTAGATCATGTTTTGACTTTTGTAAGTTGTTTACAAACTTCTATGGAATGAAAGAAAGACAGTTCTAGACAAAATAATCTTTGCAAAGCTTTATTTCATAACAAAAGTAATAGATAAAATAAATAAATTGATTGAACTAACAAATGACAAATCAAATGAGAGTCACTGATTTATCAAAAAAAAAAATGAGAGTCACTGATTTTTTTCTGCTATTATAATATCTCTTCATATGTTTGGCGTTTCATGGATGGGCCAAGGCTTTCCCTTCAGAGTTTTGAATTCTATATATGCCTAGTCTTACAACTTTTGTCATGATGTAAGGTCCTTCCCAATTAGGGCCTAGCTTCCCTTCTCGAGAGTCCTTGGTAGATTGAATTACTTTCTTAAGGACTAGGCCCCCTGGCAAGAAAGAGCGAGACTTCACCCTCGAGTTATAGTACTAGGTGATACGATGCTTGTACTCCATATTCCTAACCATAGTCATTTCCCTTTCCTCCTCTACTAAATAAAGGTTGGTGCGGAGGCCTTCTTCATTAGTGGTTGGGTCGTGGCGTTGGACCCTCAAAAAGTGTACCCGGTCTCGACTGGTATAATCACCTATATTCCATAGGCCAAGGAGAAAGGGGTCTCACTCGTAGGGCTCCTTGCCATCGTCTAGTAGGCCCCTAATACTCCAGGGAGTCCGTCCACCCACTGCCTTTTGGCACTTTCCAGCCTAGTCTTCAGGTTGCGCAGGATTGTTCTGATAGTGACCTCCGCTTGCTCATTTGCCTAATCTATAAGTCTGCACAAAAGCTATTAAGGAGTTTGTTGTTAAACTACTTAACATTGTCACTTGCTATAGCATGAAACGACACACTAAGCTCTTCCAAATGAAGTCCTTCACTCTTTGGTCTATTATTCTAGCTAAGGGCTCAACTTTTGCCCACTTTGTGAAGTAGTCAATGACTACTACCACAAAATTAACTTTGGCTACGACTCATGGATAGGGGGCCTAGGATGTCAATCACTCATTTAGAGAAGGGCCAAGGGCTCATGATGGTGGTCAATTCTTCCAACAGTTGTCTAGGCATCGTAGCAAAATATTGGCATTTGCCGTACTTTATTACAAATTCATGGGCGTCTTTTTATCATGTTAGGCCAGTAGTAGCCTTGTCTCACTGCCTTGTGAACTAGTGCACGTCCTCCAGAGTGGTTTTCATATATTCACTCGTGGATTTCTCTCATACATAATCGAATTCTTCTAGGGAGAGGTAGCGGAGTAATGACAGTGAGTAACTTCTTTTGTAAAGGGTGTCACACAAGATGACATACCTAGATGCCCTTAGTCTCAATTTCTTGGCTTCCACTGGATTTTTTAGGAGACTACCTTATTCTAAATAGGCCCGGATAGGTGTCATCAAATTCGCCTTGGATGATGTTCAATTGATGTTGTCCTTTTCTGCTTTGAGCCTGCTTGGCTTAAATTAGTGACCTGTGAGTGTGGGGACTGTTAATATATTTGCAGATGCAAAACTTGGCAAGCACATTTGCCATGACGTTATCCTCGTAGGGAACATGCTAAATTTGGAAGTGGTTAAACTTTTTCAGCAAAGTTTGTACCACTGACAGATATTCTTGCATCATTTTCTCCTTTGACTTGAAGTCTCCTTTGACCTGATTGGCTATTAGCTGGGAATTGCTATAGACCATGAGATATAGGGCATCAATTTCAATTGTGAGTTTTCAAGCCTGAGATGAGAGCCTCGTATTCTGCCTGATTGTTTGTCATAAAATGGAGAGATACGTCATATTTAAGTGGAGTACCATGGGGACTCATAAGTACCAACCTTACTCCACCGCACTCGCTGGTAGAAGTTCCATCTACGTATAGCTTCCAACATGCTATTGTATCTGTAGGTGTACTAGTTTTGATAGTTGGAGACACCCACTTAAGCATGGGAATTCAATCAAGTAGGAGTACGACAGGCTGAGGTATAGTTGATTACGGTGCTGACGATGCTAAAAGACTAGTTGCAAGGGAACTAGGCACCTCAGCCCAGGGAGCCTAGACTTCGGGGCCCTAGGGCGTTGGTTCCAAGGGGCCAGGCTCTATAAGGGTGGCGCCTGGCTTGGCTACATGAAGAGTTGAGGTGCTATGTATTGAGTAGGTGAGTGCAGGGGCATAGGGTACTTTTTTTTGGGAGGCTCCTTCCTCATTGGTGTAGATTTGGCCACAAAATCTTCAATCATTTGCACTTTCATGGCCTCCCTTGGCTGATACTATACGTCGAATTCGCTTAACTCGATGACCTATTTAAGGAGTCTTCCAAACACATTTGGATTTCCTAGGATCCCTCTAAGTGGTTGTTCAATGATAACCACAATGGTGTGGCCCTAAAAATAGTGTTGTAGGCTCCTGGCTGCAGTGACTAACGCGAGGGCTAGCTTCTCTAACTCAAAGTACCTTACCTCTATTCCTTGGTAGGGCCAGCTTACCTAATAAATAGGCATTTGAACTCCTCTTTCCTCCCTGAAAAGGACAAAACTCACAGTAGCGGACGAGGCGAAGAGGTAAAGATACAATGTCTTTCTAGGTATGGAATGAGAGAGCAAGGGGGTGCCACGCGATAGGTCTTTAACTTTTGGAAGGCCTCTTCTGTATCTGGTCCCCATTGAAAAGATTTATGAATAATTTTAAAGAAAGGTAAATACTTATTTGCTAACTTGGAAATAAACCTATTAAGGGTTGTTATCCTTCCGTTAAGGTGTTGGACCTCCTTCATATAGGTTGGGGATCTTATCTCTAGGATAGCTTTTATCTTATCTAGATTAGCCTCAATACCCTTTTATTAACTATGAAGCCTAGAAATTTTCCTAAACTTATGCCGAAAGTGCACTTCTCAAGATTTAGTTCATCCGGTAAACTATTAGGATGTCGAAGGTCTCCTGCAAATGTGCTACATAGTCTGTCATAGCCAAGCTTTTCACCAGCATGTCGTCCACATAGACTTCCATGGTTTCTCGATCTAAACCTTGAACATTTTATTCATGAGGCACTGGTATATGGCTCTGGTCTTTTTGAGTCTAAAGGGCATGACCTTATAATAGTAAGTTCCTTTTTTGGGGTGATAAAATAAGTTTTCTCTTGATCTAGGGGAAACATGTTAATCTGGTTATACCCAGGGTAAGCATTCAGAAAGCTAAGCAGCTCGTGTCCAGCAGTGGCATCAATAAGGATGTCAATGTGCGATAAGGGATAGTTCTCCTTAGGACAAGCTTTTTTAAGTTCGGTGAAGTCCACGCAAAGGTGCCACTTCCTATTAGAATTTGTTACCATCACGACATTTGATAGCCAAACAGAGTAGGCTATTTCCCTCACCGACCCATTTGCTAGCAGCTTCCCCACCTCTTTTTCCATGGTGTGGGCTCTTTCAGCACCAATGTTTCTCAATTTTTGGCGAACGGGCTTGTATATGGGATCCACATTGAGCTGGTGGGTGGAGACCTCAAGGTCGATACCCTCTAGATTTTTACAAACCAAGCAAAAACATCCATGTTCTGCCTAAGGAAATCAACAAGGTGGGCGACTCGATCTTAGGAAAGTAAGGAGCCAATATAGATTCTTCTTCCTAGAAAGTTCCTGTCGAGCTCTACTGATTTGAGTTCTTCTACTAGCTCTCCCCTTTCCAATGTGCTATCATCCTTAGTGTTGAGCACTTCCACTTGTAGGGTCTCTTGAGGTTTTTTGACCCTCATAGAGGCTACATAGCATTCTCTAGCGACAACTTGGTCTCCCCTGATTTCTCCAATCCTACAAAGCATTGGAAAATGGAGAACAAGGTGATAGGTGGACAACACTGCCCTTAAGGTGTTAAGTGCAGGGCCTCCAAGAATAATGTTATAGGCAGAAGGGTAATCCAACATTATGAAGTTCACCATGATGGTGGAGCTTTTCGGTGTTGTCCCTACTGTGACTAGTAGAGTGATGGAACCCAAAGGATACACCTTCTCCCCCGAAAATCCAATGAGGGGCGTCTTGATGGTTACAATCTTGCCCTACCAAGATGGAGCCTATCATAGGCTAGTGTAAACAGGATATTGGCAGAGCTGCCGTTGTCCACCAGAATTCTCTTAACCTGGTAGATGACTATCATTATGGTTAACACCAAAGGGCCATCATGGGGGTGTTGGATCCCCTCGAGATCCCTATCTAAGAATTAGATGACCTCTCATTCCCCATGTCTGTGCGTCTTTATCAGGCAAGGGTGGTCCGACTCCGCCTGTCTAGCTATCCTAGTATATGCCTTCTTGGCTGAGTTGGAGTCACCTTCTTCTCCTAACCCTCTAGAGATCATCTAGATTTCTTCGAGGGGCTGTTAGTGCTCTTTGTCATCTTGGTTCCAGCTAGGTGGCAGGACTTGTCTTTTGACGGCAACGTATTGCCACAATTGGCTCGCTGAATGATTTCCTCGATCTGCTTCTTGAGTTTAAAGCAGTCGTCGGTGTCATGGCCATGATTACGGTGAAATCGACAGTACTTGTTTGGGTTCCTATGATTCGGGGCGAACTTCATTTTCCCTTACCACGTGTCGTAGGATCATCCTGGACTTGGAGCAAGATATGTTCAATCGAAGCATTAAGTGGTGTGAAGGCTTGTCACCCTCTCAAAAGTGCGGGACCGAGGCAGCCCTTAATGGACTCTCTCTTCATCATCTTTTTCTTATCTGCTGCCTCTCTTCTGTCTTCATGGGTGTCCTTTCTCTTCCCTTCCCCGTGGGAGGACTCACCTCGCTTGACCTTGGTGATATCCTCGACATTCATATACTTTTGTACCCTAGATTACAGCTCGAGCATGCTTGCTAGTGATTTTTTCAAAATCGAAAACATAAAACTTGATGAGCGCAGACTTGCGATAAAGGCGACTATGGGGACTTTATTATCTAGCTCTTCAAACTAGAGGGTCTTCTCATTAAATCGAGTGTGATACCGATTCTGCTTGATAGTGAGTAGGTGGGTGACCAATTTCTAATGTCAACATCCCCTATTAAGTGGGACGAAAGATTTGTTTAATTCAGCAAAAGAGTTGATAAAAGATGGTTTGAGTTTGGCAAACACTGATGTGCATATCCCATAAGGGTGGTAGAGAAGACTTTGCACATTATCTCGTCTAACACATTATGGAGTTGCATAAAGGACTTGAACGTGTTGAAGTGGTCGAGTGGATCTTTCGAACCGTCAAAGGTTTCCACAGTGGGCATCTTGAATTTCTGGGGTAAGGGGGTAGTCGACCACATCAGCCCCAAACGGAGTGTCGGTGCACCTTACCATATATTCCACTGTTTTCGGCGCCTTGATGGCATTGAAGATGTCGTCAAGTTGATTTTGTATGTCCTTAATTTTTTCATGTCAGATCGTTGAAATAACTTTTGTGGTTTGCATACTAGTTTTTTCCCTTATCCTCCTGCATAAGAAGTTCATTGGCATGTCAATACAGAGTAGGGGCGTGAGGAAGAGGAACGTGTGGGGCACCTGGGCATTGAGGAGTGACTCCTTGGCTGGGGGAGGGATCAAATGTTGCAAGGGGGCGCCCTGGCGTTGGACGCCATGTTAGAGGGCACCTTGGGTCGACAAGTTATGACGCCTCCCCTCCTGCGGGATGGGGTGCAACTCCTCCCGAGGTGAGCATCAATCGGAGAATCTGCTAATCTTGGCTCACCAGCAGTTGCATTGTCTCCAGAAGTGGTTGCCCAACCATAGGATTTGCAACAACAGAGGGTTCTATAGGTGGAAGCAAGGCCTCCTCCTGATGCGCTGGGTTATTATCCTCCAGTTGCTAATTCATTGAACTAGTTGTAATTGCCATGGATTTGAAAGAGATTATGATGAAATAGAAAAGACAGTAAAAAACTTAGTTATTTCCTACAAACGAAGTCAAATTGTTGATGTACAAAATAGGTTAAGCACAATTAAAATCAATCAAGTGCGTGACAAAAGACAAATAACGGAGCAATTAATAACATAGATGAAGATTGGGTGGTTGGGTCTGAGCAGCCTCACCACTAAAGACGACAAAGGTGGCCGGAGAACTTTATTAATAGTAGATATAAGGTAGTAGGAGAGAGGGCAAGAGTAAGAGTATGCTCAAGGTGTAGTGTGTCTCACTTGTGTAAATGGTTTACAATTTATATGCACAGAACCTTAGATGAGGTGTGAAGGTCAAACTACTAATCCTCTGGAGAGGATAGCTACAATTGATGATGATCACTATTCTACAGTCATGGCTATCCTGGTAATTATTCTCACACGTGTGTTGATCCTTTTGGACTCTAGAGATTCGAATTGGACCCAAGCCATGAACTATGCCTGACATCTTTGATGATTTGGACTTAAACCATGATCTGGGCCTAGGCCCAGTTAGATCTGGGCTCGTCAAGTCTAAAATCAGGCTAGTTACATAAATTAGGTTAAATATTTGGTTGATAAAAAGTTTAATTCGGATTTAATTTTTGAATTATACAATTTAGGATGAAATATGATGTCAATTTAGTTTTGACTTTCAAATTACACAACTCAAATTAAAAATTGGCTTGCATTCAGGTTCATTAATTTGGGTTATGTTTCTAATAGAATTATGAATATCAGAGGCCCTAAATTGATTACAATCTAAATTTAAATTAGATCAATATTTTTTGTCCAATTAAACCAAAAAAAATTAAAAGTTTACCTTCAAATACTAAATATGTCGAATTAGGTTTGGGTTAATCCATCAAATTATCACCCGATTTGTTCTTCCCCACACTTTTCCACCAACTCCTCTATCTTTTAAAGGGAAAAGTATTTTTCCTCCCAATCTTATTCATTCTCCGGTATTTTTTCCCTCTCTACTTACCTTAGCAACCAAACAAGGTACAGGGATTTCCATGTGTGTGGGCGTTTTTTCTCTCTCTTTCCTCTCCAAATTTTGATATCCAAACAGCTTGAATTCGATCAGTACTTCACCGTCCTCTTCATCGTTATACCTCTAGATCTTTGAAGGGCTTAACGTATCGATTCAAGAATGGTGCTAGTATCGGCCGTGCGAGACTACATCAACCGCATGTTACAGGACATTTCTGGCATGAAGGTGCTCATTCTGGATTCTCAGACGGTTCGTACAATCACCACCTTGATTTAATTTCACAATTGATTTTTCTGTTGAATCGCTTTAACTATTTATTAGCTTGATTCTGTTTTTTGGTGCATTATTTAGTTTGTTAGATTTAGATTTCAATCCTATCGTATAAGCGAAAACTTGTTTGGATTCGAATCATTTCAATGGCACCTGTGATTATTGGATTGACCTTGGAAATTTATTGAATTCGAGGTTTCTAGTATAGTAGTATTGCTGTATTACGATATTTATTTGTGTTTCTGGTAGAATTGGATATATGTATGGTATATAAACTAAAAAAAAATAAAAATTGATGATATGAATTTGAGGTGTTAGCAAGAGGAGATAAGATGTTGATGCTAGCAGCAAGAAAGTTGTGGATTTAAATTTGTGTGCTCTCACTTTGTGCACGTAATGCTAAATGTTAGGACTGTTCAGTTCACGCTGGTAGCCCTTAATCAATGGGTATGGGTAATGACCTTTGTTGTTGTTAGTTCATGTGAACATGTAATTGCACAAAAGTTGGGTTTGTCTCAAGTCCATCCATCTCAGCGTCATCACTTAAGAGTGACCAAATTGAGTAATGACCATTTTTGGTCCTAGTTCATGCTAGTATTTATATGAAGAGGTTGGTTTTGTGCGCATATGTTTCATTAGTCAAAAAATTGTTGTGTGGCAATGCTAGAGGGCTTGCATGTCATCTAAAGTTTGGGGTGGTGAGTTAGGTGTTTGATTCTTACCATATTGTCATAGAGGCAATCATGAGTTAGTTGACTGGTGGTGATGGTATATAAAACTCTAGTCTACCTGTTGACTTCAGTAATTGATTTTTATTAAGCATGTAGTAGATTATTTTGATTCATATCTCTAGTATTCTGTAAGTGAGAAAATTTGAATAGTTTTGGTAAGAAATTGTATAAGATAGTTGTGGGTTTTAAGCGTAACAATATTGTATCCTCATATGCGTTGCAGGTTAGTAGCGTGAGTGTTGCGTACTCGCAGTCAGAGCTTCTTCAGAAAGAAGTGTTTTTGGTAGAACTGGTAGATTCCATCTCCATGTCAAAAGAACCCATGTCACATCTCAAAGCAGTCTACTTCCTTCGGCCAACTTCAGAAAATATTCAGCATATGCGGCGTCAGCTGGCTAAACCTCGATTTGGAGAGTATCACCTATGTAAGTTTTTGTATATTAATTGCACATGAGAAAGAAGTTTAGATGAAATTCTATTGTCGAAACTTGAGAGACTACATTTTCTTAAAGGCCCTGTTTCTTTTATAAAGCACTAATGTGATGTTAAGAGGAAAAATTGATTTGTAACACTTGAAGTTTCGATCGAGTTATCTTGCAAAATTGGTGAAGCCATTTTTTGTACTTCACGTTCTCTTTACAGTTTTCTCCAACATAATGAAGGATACTCAGCTTCATATTTTAGCTGATTCAGATGAACATGAAGTTGTCCACCAAGTGCAGGTACTTTATATTTCTAGTCACTCATTTTCTTAAATTGACATTCGATTATACAGTGTTTATGTCATTTTACTGAAAACACATCCTAATTCAAGAAGATAATTTGGAGTTATACCTGATTGAAAAAGCTGAGACATTTCTTAGGATTAGTTTTAGCTGAATAAATTCATAGTACATTTATTTTATCTTGCTGAGTTCAATGTTGTTGCATAATCCTTTGATCAACATTTGCTATGTAATTTCATATATTGACATAGCCAATGCAAAATTGCGATTGGGCTTTGAAGATGTTCCCTATCAATTGATCATGGTTGAGACCTGTTATTTTAACCTTCTTCTTTTTAACTGTCCAATTCTTATTATGCATACCTCGATACGCTATTTTATTACTACCAGTTTGTTTAATAAGTTCTGCCATCAATGACTATACGTGACTTAGTTCTAGAAGTGATGCCATTTGTTTTTGCTCTAATACTGAAAATAGACTGTGGATATAATTATTACTTTGTTTCTTCAGGAGTTTTATGCAGACTTTGCCGCAATTGATCCTTACCATTTCACTTTGAATATAGCATCAAGTCACATGTATATGCTCCCGGCAGTTGTAGATCCTTCAAATTTGCAGCACTTCTGTGATCGGGTTGTCGATGGAATTGCAGCTATCTTCTTGGCATTGAAGCGGCGACCTGTCATTCGATATTCACACACTTCGGATACGGCGAAAAGGATAGCACAGGAAGCAGCGGTGAGCAAGCAAAATTATGCATGGATATTATCTGCATGTTTGATTTTATATGACCATATGAATTTTAGTTTAAAGGCTATTCTTCATTCTCTGGATTTATTTCGGAGGAATATGATTTGTGCTAGTTACGTTTATATTTATCTTTTTATATAAAAATTTACTTGTGGTATTGGGTCAGAATGTGTTCATTCTATTGTGGATTTTAAAGTTGTAAAAAGATCATATAATCAACTGTCATTTCCCCCTCCTTGGATACAACAGAAGCTGATGTACCAGCAGGAGAGTGGTCTTTTTGACTTCAGACGAACAGAAGTTTCTCCCTTATTACTAGTAATTGATAGGAGGGACGACCCTGTTACCCCATTACTGAATCAATGGACATATCAGGTACTTTTGAGTCATCACTTCGAACTTGTCTCTCATGTTTTTCCTGCGTATGGATGTGGTTATCTTGAAGACTTTTAAAATTAAGTAGATGGATAGAATTAAACAAATGCTGCTCATTTTTTATATTTATTTCCACAGGCCATGGTTAACGAGTTGATAGGTATTCAAGATAATAAGGTAGACTTGAGAAACATTGGCAAATTTGCGAAGGATCAGCAGGTTGATTTTCATTACTCCTTGTTCTACATGGTCTAGTGTTGCTACTTTTCATGTATTATAAATCATCTGTTGGCTATTCATGCTTACAGGAGGTTGTGCTGTCATCTGAACAAGATGCCTTTTTCAAAACCAATATGTATGAGAATTTTGGAGACATTGGAATGAATATTAAGCGGATGGTGGATGAATTTCAGCAAGTTGCAAAGAGTAACCAAAAAATCCAGACGATAGGTTTGTCTGCAGCAAATTTGAGAACTTCAGCCTTCAGGATATTTGTTATGTTATTTGGTAGTTGCCATTTAGTTGTTAAGCTATTGTATAGCTCATAAATTCTGAAATCAGTTATGTGCCGAATTTTCTGCAGAAGACATGGCTAAATTTGTTGACAACTACCCCGAATACAGAAAGATGCATGGCAATGTTTCTAAGCATGTGACCCTGGTTACAGAGATGAGCAAGATAGTTGAACAACGAAAACTTATGTTAGTTTCACAGACAGAACAAGAGTTGGCTTGCAATGGTGGGCAAGGGGCAGCATTTGAGGTGATTTGGTGCTTACACTTCTCCTAGATATCATGTTTACTCTAGAATCTGCAGCATCATATGATTATTAGACAGCTCTTTAGTTACATTTGAGTTCAAAATGTGGAGATTCAGATTACAGAGTCTGCCAATAATGTGTTAGTGTAAAGTATAAAAGCGTTTATACAAACACAAGACACTAAAATCAAAAGCTATGTAGGAGAGTTTTAGTAGGTTTTTTGGGACCTGGAAATCATTTTCTTTTCCAATTTTTGTTTTGGATGCTCAAGGTTTGTTGCAGTATAGGTTTCTGTTTTTGTAAAAAGCATTGGTTTGAGTGCTCTGATGAATACTCAAAGTAAATTTTGCTGCTTGGCATTGTATTAGCTTGCAATGATGATTGAAGAAGGAGAAGGTTCCAATTGTCTTGTGTTGTTTTAAGGATGAAATAGTAGTTGTTTGCTATAAACTGGTTCTGGGCTTAAAAGGCGAACAAGTTTAGAAAATTTAGGAAAAAGAGGGCAGAAGGAAAAGGAACTGGAGGACTCACTCTATATTACTATAGGCGAAATATTATCAAGTAGCATAATTGCTGAAGAATTATTCTAAATCTTGTTCTTCGTTGATTGCTTGTTTACGTTTAAAATCAACTCAAGATTTGGTGGGAGTTGCGACTAAAAAAAATTTGGTTTTCAGGAAATGTTTATGGGAATGCTTAGATTCACTTTCTTGCAATGATTTCATGGATGAAACGTTTCAAATGTTCTAGTATTCGATGACTTGGATAACTGATACTATAAATCTGTAAAACAAACATTTTTGGTAATTGGTGTCCTTCGGCACTAAGGATATGAATGTTCATGTGGAAACTATGGCTTGGCTGTCATGATGATTAGCTATGGTTATTGATGCTTTATTTGTTTAGGAGTCCTCTATTTATATTTAGTCACGTTCGCATATTATGATTTAGAGGCAGGAGACTGGGAAAATGACCATTTTTCTTACCTGTGCTTCTTTACAGGCTGTGACAAATCTATTAAATAACGAAAGTGTCTCTGATATTGACCGTCTACGCCTGGTAATGTTGTATGCTTTGCGCTATGAGAAGGACAGCCCTGTTCAACTGATGCAACTTTTCAACAAATTGGCTTCTCGATCTCCCAAGTACAAGCCTGGGGTAACAGAACTATTCTAGGGTTGCCATGCTCCACCTTTACTCTTCTGACTGCCTTCCTTGAGCTGATTGCTCTTTGTTTTTTGCATGGTGTTCCTTGTTTGTCTATGCATGTGTTTTTGATGACTCATTCACCTATTACCCTAAGAAGGGGGAAAAAAAAAGAAGAAAAACAGAAGAGTGTATTATCTTGTAAAAACTACTTATCTGAAAGATGGAAAAAAAAAAATAAGAAACAGAAGAGTGATCATCTTCTAAGAACTACTTATTTGAACAGTCACATCGGATTGATTATATTAACAACCATTTTCTTGTCCAAAATCTGACATTGTTTCTGTATTTTCTGTAAGTTGAAGAACCTTCCTTTATAATTTTTCTCCCCATTTGGATGCTCTTTTTTCCTTCGGATGTACCCATTTAAGAATTCACTCTCTTAGATACTCAATTTGAGTGGTTGCATGTGGAAAATGTTATGTTCAATGCTCTAGCTATGTAAGACATTGGACTAATTCTGTTACATCGGCTATTATGAATGGCAGCTTGTGCAATTCCTTTTAAAGCAAGCTGGTGTTGATAAGCGAAATGGTGATCTTTATGGGAACCGAGATCTGCTGAATATTGCTCGTAACATGGCTCGAGGACTCAAGGTTTGTCCGGGAAATTTTTCTGATTGTTTGCCTTTTGATGCAGTTTCTGGTTTTTTAGGATTGGTCGTCCATGCTTATTGCAGGGGGTTGAGAACGTGTACACCCAACACCAGCCTCTTCTATTCCAAATTATGGAAAGCATTACCAAGGGACGGTTGAGAGACGTGGACTACCCTTATGTAGGAAATCACTTTCAGCAGGGAAGGTTTGTTCTCTCAATATCATCTCTTAGTTGCTGTTGTGGGGCTTTGATGTGGTCCTTTCTGACTAAATCATGAATCCTTTGATGTTCCGTTGGAGGCTTCTATAGTATGTGGACTTGCCAACTTGCCTTCTGATGCTAGATCCAATGCTTTATTAAAAGCATGATTTTGATGATCACAAACATCCTAATGCAAACTAATGTTTGTTTTAGTGTATGGATGAATGTAGGATCAAGTTAAGGTGTTTGCCACATTTGAATAAGAAAGGCAAAAAATGGGCGTGAAAAGAATGTGACGGAAGTTAGGCAAAATGGTCATCTGGAAGGCATGATTAAACATCCTAATGCTAATTAATGTTTGTATTAGTGTATGGATGAATGTAGGATCAAGTTAAAGTGTTTTTCACATTTGAATAAGGCAGGCAAGAAAAGGGCATGAAAAGATGTGATGAAAGTTAGGCAAAAAGGTCATCCGGAAGGCAATTTGGACTTTCGGATGAACATCTGGATGACCTCAATAAGTCTCTGGAAATGGCTAAGATTGAAGGGAAAAATATGCAATCTGGAGAACAATTTCGGAATTCTGGATGTGCTATCCGGAAGACTACTCCAGAAGTCTGGATGGCCTATTCGGAAGTCCAGTTTGGAAGGAAGCAAGAAGGACAAAAGCCAAGGTGGAAGGTAGTTCCAGATGTTCGGCTCCCTTCCATCTGGAATACCGGTTATTGTTCATCCAGAATTCCGGATGAACATCCGGAAGCTCTCCAAAACTCTCTGGAATATAAAGATTTTGAGGAATCAGTATGAAGCCAAAAGCAGAAGGCTTTGTCAGAAGTCCAGGTACTTATCTGAAAGTCTAGATATAGCCGTTAGGCCTCCAATGGCTACATCCAGAAGACCATCCGGAAGTCTAGATAGGCTTTTGGACTCGACGTTTTTAATGCTGCTGTCTTCCATTCTCTCATTTAAGACACCAAACTATAAATAGGGAATTGAGGGTTTTCAAGACCAACTTTTGGAGCATTTGTCTTTGAGCAAAAACAAAAAGAGAGCATCTAGCTTTTTATCTTGATTTTGAAAAGAAGATTCTTATGAACTTTCGATTCTTTTTTCATTCTCTTATACTTAGTGCTATCATTGTGTTGAGAGAGAATATTCTTAAGAAAAAGAGAGAGTTGTATATTCTTCTTGAGTTGTGCTAAATAAGGGTTTTCTATTTGCATCAAGAAGAAGAAAATTGTTAGGGTTTCATTCTCACCCATTTGAAGTGGATAAAGATAATGAAAGAAAAATTCCATGGGGAGGAAGAAGAGAGGACATAGGCTACGGGATTTGTGGCCCGAACCTCTATAAATAGTGTTTGCATCTTGTGCTCTATATTTTTATCTATTGTGTGTATATATTATTGTTCATTACACATTCATTTCACACACATATGCTTTCAAACAAAAAAAATTTACAAATAGTAATTTTGTTTTGGAAATAATTTTTGACAAGTAAAAACTTAATTCACTCCCTCCCTTTTAGGTTCATTTGAGACAAGCACTAGTTTATTAAAGTTTGATCATGGAGAAATCAGTGTTATTTACGGCAGAAAGTGCACTGAGGTGCCAAGGTCTCTTGGAGCCTAGGCACGAGGCTGTGTGCTGAAGTGTGGTCTTCATCGAAGCGAGGCGCATGCTGTAGATATATGTGAAAATCATATGTTTTACAGCAAATGCTACCACATTCGGCAAATTTTAGAAAATTTCATGTGTAGGACATATACTGCTCGTTTCAGTAGCTAATATCAATAATATTCTGTAAAAAAAAAGTTACTTCCTGACAAATACAACCAATACGATTCATTCAGTAGCATAAAACCTTTTTTTGGATTGAGAGTTTATGAAGGAATGTAGATGTTCGATTACAAGCTATTCATTGCGGCTATGTACTACACATTAGATTTTGTTCTGCATGAATGAGGGGTGGGTTATTTATGTTATGAATCAAACATGTAGTAAGTGACAGTGTTGCTACTAGACTCTTGTGCATGGTATCCACTAGAGAACTCTGGGCACATGCATGTGTTTAATCTGGGTCAAGTGGGTTGAAGGGGGCAAGCATTTACTTACGGATGACCTATAAATCTTAGCTTAGAAGATTGAAGAGTAGTGCATTGAGACAGTGCCACACCCTCAACTCATTGGAGGCAATGCTATGTTTATTAACTTGTTTCTATGGGGAGGAAGATTCTCTCCTAGGCTAGGAAGGACAGATACGGGCACGGTACGATACAGATACGGCGATACGACAAAATTTTAAAAAGTAGGATACAGTTATGGTTAGGAGATACACACACACATATACATATGTATATGTTACTACAATATTAGGAGTTTGAGGCATTAAGAGATAAAACATGTTCCAAAGTAAAACAATTTATGTTGCTAACATAGGGACTGCATAATGGTGCTTTGAATCCAATGCTCTATGTAATTTTAAAGTGGAACATGTTTTCTCTTCCAATAGTTCTCAACTTTTACTTAGCTTTTAATTGTAACAGACTTCAATGGCTTTGACATGAGTCATAAAAACTCATTATTTAGAAAGACTTCACAAAACTTGTGACATATGTGTTGTACGTCTAAATGAACATCTCGAAATAAAGAATTTCAATTTGTGTGGTTCATGGTTTCTACACAACCACCTCACTAAAATATAAGGCCAATGTATCCACTGTGGAGATGTGTATCCAAGGTGTATCCCACAAATATCCAACAATAATAAATATTTTATTAATTATTCGATTTGTGTGGAAAGTATCCAATATGTATCCACGAGTATCTAGCAAGTATTGGTATCCGATACATATCGGATATGGACATCTGAAGTAGAAAATAATGCAGGGTTAAAAGTAGAAAATAATGCAGCTTAGGGTTTATTTTTCCAGCTCACACATTTCATTTGTGGCAGGCCACAGGAGGTGGTGATTTTCATTGTTGGTGGGACAACATATGAGGAGTCACGTTCCGTTGCACTACAAAATTCCACCAATTCTGGGATTCGATTTATACTTGGTGGTTCAGCGGTTCTCAATTCTAAGAGGTCTGTCTTAGTCTTTCTATGTTTATACATGATTTTTTTTTAATTCTAGATGGGCTGAAGAAAAAGCTTCCTCTCTTTTTGCAACATGAATTGTTTTTTTTGGTCATTGTAACATGATATTTGAGAACTACAAAATGTGGTGCTACTTGTGCTCCGTGCATGATAGCATTGAGGTCTAACATTAAGTGATTAACCTGATACAACCTGATTATTTCGTGCGCTGAGCAGTCGTAGGAATTCATTTCTACATTGTGCTCACATTAGGTTTGTACTTGGCAAAATTTGGTTGTTGCTTCTGGGGTGGCTTAAAAACTGGTCCACATAAATTGTGTGCCCCACATAGATAGTTCTTTTGAGTTGCACTCTGAACCAAGTCCTCATTGTTTGTCCTGTTTCTTTCACTTATGCACTTGATATTCTCTCACAATATCTCTCTTTTGGTTGGACATGTAGGTTTCTGAAGGACCTTGAAGAAGCCCAGAGGATTGCTCGGACTAGCACGAGTGTAGTTTGAACTTTGAATCCTGCTGCATCTTATACCTCTTGGAAGCCATGTAAATAAAGTTTGCAGATTTTGCATAGGTTTCCCATTCTGGAGAATGCTTACAAAGCACCGATATCTAACACTGCATAACAGCTTGAATAGAGATCATGAGTGCCTCCTACTGGTTCAGTATTATGTATAAGGTAATTTTTTGACTTGGAAAATTGATAGAGGAATTGAGTTTGGAAGGCCTAACATACATTAAAGGAAGCTCAGAGGGCGGTCTCTTGCAGCCAAGCAGATCTTATATTTGTGCCTGAATTGAGGTGTTTTGCTTTGCTCCTGCCAAAAGTAGCATTGTATTTTTGATATATTTACAGGAACCTTATTTTCCCTGTATGTCTTGCTGATGTATCTAATGTAACTGTATTATCATGATCTTTTGAAAAATAGATGACACTACGAGCAATCCTTGCATTATCATGACTTTTCCTGTATATCTTGTGACGATATACACTAGTACATTACAGTGCAGGTGGCGTATAAATGGTGTTTTATGCACTTGCTTCTTCATTCAACAGCGTATTTAGTGTCCAAATTCCATCATATCGTCATCTTAATGAATTTCAATGTTGGTTTGGCGAATTTATGCTTACTTTTTTGTTCCCAAAATAGCCTTGTAAAAGCAGGGTAAGGGTATGTGAAGACCTGCCTCTTGTGTCGACAGGACAAGGTCAGGAGAGTAGGCCCACTCAGATGGCTCCTTGTTCTTCTCAATTCCAGTAACGTTAGTACCAACTTTTTAGGACAGGAGAGGGCAGTGTGAGATCAGAGTCATAGTTTAGGGGTCAAAGTATAATTAAGCTTAAGATTCTTGATATGGTAAATTATCTAAATAACCCCTCGATTATATTATTAGATTTACATTTGTCCTTGCTATTTGTTCACATACTAATTTTGTCCAGATTTGGAAGAACACTACCATTTTTTGTGTAATTTAAAAGAAATATTTATTGTCAAAGGTGCAATGTAAGATGGTTTATAGTTAAGGGAACAATAAGAGAATAGAGTCATAAATTAGAGGCTAAAGTGTATTTAAGCTTAAGCTTCCTATATAAAGTAAACCAGGACTCGTTTGTAGGGTCTGATATCTATGATAAAATGGAGTCCTCCTCTGCGGCGTATAGGACTGGGTTTGCTTGTCTGCATCACGGGAGTATCGAACTTTTGGTGAATGGAGCCAGTGAAAAGCCTGGTTAGCCTATGGTACCCAAAATAGATTTTTTTTATATTGTCCAAAAATATTATAATTACCGAGTGTCAAGTTATGTTTTTTAAACATTGAATGAATTCTATCAATTTAAATGGTAATTTGGCATCTCAAATAGAAAGAAAACTATTTTTTAAATAAATTTGTTTTAATGTATGTAACTACATGAATGTTATATAACATCATAATAATAATTAATAGGGTCCATTTAAAAATTTTGTCAAGGGGCTTAGTTTGGCTTGGGCTGCCCTAGATTACAAATAGATTATCAATGTCATCATCAATCACAAATAATCGTTAAAATAAGAAATATATTTGACCTTTTTTGAGTTTTGTATGTACAGAAATTTCACACCGGATAAAAAAAAAAGTGAAAGTGTATTAATATACTATGGATGAGCTCATGACTTATAGATTAGAACTTTTAGGTGGGTATGAGTTTTAGACATGTATATTGAGTATAGTATCACTAGGCTTCTTGTCTCCCAACAAATTGGTACCCAAGCATCAAATCACCAGTCATATATAGATTCGAAGATCTTATTGTTTATGCATTAATCACTAGTTATGCAAATTCTACTACTTTTTTTAGAAGGCTATCAGAGCCGATTGCTAGCGATCTGGGCTAAACTTTTGAAGAAGTGATGTAGTGTGCTGATATTAATTATGACCGTTAAGAAAAGTGAAAGGCTCTTGGTATAGAAGTCATAGAAACACAACTCTGAAAAAAAAAAGAGCAGGGCGTAGTTTGGGTACAAGGACTTTTGATAGAGTGGTATTACGGTGACTCAAAATAATCATAAAAAGCTTGGTTCTTGGAGAAGCAAACTCTTGTAAAAAGTGGTGAAACACAATGCCTGTAAAGAATGGTGCATCAGACTCAAAGACGAGCTAAGCCCGATGTGATTCATATATGATGAAGAGATTATTGAGAGTGAAAGTGTATTAATATATTGTGGATAGTCTCAATATTTAGGTAGGTATGAGTCCTAAACATGTATATTGCACCTTATATCATTAGGCTTATTGTATTCCAACAATCTTTAAAAGTTGTATTTTTTATGGTTCGATCTAAACATTATATAATTGATCATAATTTGATGCACAAAAGTTATAGGGTTAACTGAAGTGGTAGTCCCCAAAGTTTGCGTTTCATCTCATTTTGGTCCCCAATGTTACAATTGTGACACATTAGTTCATGATGTATTCACATTGTTTTTAAGTGGTCAACATGCATGACATTGTCCAGATGTTTAACGGTTTTTGCTCTTGTGCTTCCCACGTGCTCTCAAATGAAGTGTATATTGGACAAATCATTGCCTACTTGATCTAAATTGCGGCAGTGGTTCCTAAAGTATACAATTCCATCTCATTTTGGTCCCCAACGTTACAATAGTATCACATTAATCCCCTAATGTATTCAAATTACTTTTTGTTGATCCTCACACATGATGCTGCCTAGATTTTTAACGATTTTTAACCATGTGTTAGCCACGTGTCCCCAAATGAAGAGAATATTGGACATACACCTTTTCACTTGATCCAAAAAAAAGTGTCGCTCCTAGAGAGAAATATTCCTGCTAATAGTCAACTGTCGTGGGATTTATGTTATGGTGAGTTAGAAAAGGGAGCAATACAAATAGGGGCATTTATTTCCTACTATTAGTACAAGATGATTGTAAAATCCTATTCTTGTACTTCCTCTTCTTGTGACTCGCCACATGCTACCGAAAGGCGGGAATAACACAATCTCAAGCCAGTTGGACCTTGGCGGGAATGTTTCCTTACAGGAACAACACATTATTGTTTGAGTGAAGTGGACAGTGATTTGTCTAATATCCCCTTCATTTTAGGTCATGTGGACGGTAAATGGGTAGAAATTGTTAAAAATTTAGACAATGTCATGTGCGAGGATCACTTAGAAACAAATTGAATACATTAGAGACTAACGTGGCATGATTGTAACTTTAGAGACCACTATTGTAATTTTGGGGCCAAGTAAAACAATGATTTCTCCAATATGCCATTTATTTGGAAGCACATGAAAAGCACATGAGCAAAAACCATTAAAAATATGGATTACATCATGTGTGGGAATCACAAAAAAAACAAATTGAATACATTAAGACTAATGTGATAAAATTATAATATTAAGGACTAAAATGAGACAGTGCAATGTTTGGGGACCACCGTAAAAATTAACCCAAACTAGTCACCAAGGCTATACAAAGCCTGGGTGTAGGGGTGTTAATCGAGCTGAGCTTTCAGAGTTTCAGTATATTTAGGCTCGGCTCGAATTTTGCAAGGTTTGTTCAAGCTCGGCTCGAGCTCGAACATTGAGCCCAAATTTTTGTTCAAGCTTGGCTTGGTACAAAGCTCGAGCTTGGGCTTGGTACAAAGCTCGAACTTGAGCCAAAACCGATCTCTAATGCTAAATCTCAAATCCTCCATCAAAAATTTGAAAGTCTCAAGTCCACAAGTCTCAAATCGCAAATTTCAAATTATAGTTCATAGATTTCACATTAAATATACACAAATCTAAATCTAAACACAAACCCTAAGCATTCCATAAATGAAATCTCCAGGAATTCCATTCGAAGAAGGCCTTCACTCTACCTCCTTTCGACCTCAAAGTGCCCTCCAAACAAAACTACTTGATCTGTGTAACCTAGAAGCCAGAAAAAGCATGATGGCTTGCTAGATTACACTGATCGCTCCCAAAAATTAAATAAAACTTACAAATAGACACCATGAACATATATAATTTTATACAATAGATGCCTTTCTTTCTCCAATTTCTTGCACCAACTCAATGGGATTTCGAGGGTAATGATTCAATCTAGGTTAGAGTCATGATGATGATAACTGTTAATTCTCCGGAGAACTAGAAATTGAAATGTGAGAGATTTAATGAGGAAGACCCCATAGATGCAACCCAGTAAAATAAAAAAAGATTTTTTTGTGAAGAGTGAGAGAGAGGTAGATCGATGGTGTGTTGCTTCTTGAGATACCNTTTCCTTACAGGAACAACACATTATTGTTTGAGTGAAGTGGACAGTGATTTGTCTAATATCCCCTTCATTTTAGGTCATGTGGACGGTAAATGGGTAGAAATTGTTAAAAATTTAGACAATGTCATGTGCGAGGATCACTTAGAAACAAATTGAATACATTAGAGACTAACGTGGCATGATTGTAACTTTAGAGACCACTATTGTAATTTTGGGGCCAAGTAAAACAATGATTTCTCCAATATGCCATTTATTTGGAAGCACATGAAAAGCACATGAGCAAAAACCATTAAAAATATGGATTACATCATGTGTGGGAATCACAAAAAAAACAAATTGAATACATTAAGACTAATGTGATAAAATTATAATATTAAGGACTAAAATGAGACAGTGCAATGTTTGGGGACCACCGTAAAAATTAACCCAAACTAGTCACCAAGGCTATACAAAGCCTGGGTGTAGGGGTGTTAATCGAGCTGAGCTTTCAGAGTTTCAGTATATTTAGGCTCGGCTCGAATTTTGCAAGGTTTGTTCAAGCTCGGCTCGAGCTCGAACATTGAGCCCAAATTTTTGTTCAAGCTTGGCTTGGTACAAAGCTCGAGCTTGGGCTTGGTACAAAGCTCGAACTTGAGCCAAAACCGATCTCTAATGCTAAATCTCAAATCCTCCATCAAAAATTTGAAAGTCTCAAGTCCACAAGTCTCAAATCGCAAATTTCAAATTATAGTTCATAGATTTCACATTAAATATACACAAATCTAAATCTAAACACAAACCCTAAGCATTCCATAAATGAAATCTCCAGGAATTCCATTCGAAGAAGGCCTTCACTCTACCTCCTTTCGACCTCAAAGTGCCCTCCAAACAAAACTACTTGATCTGTGTAACCTAGAAGCCAGAAAAAGCATGATGGCTTGCTAGATTACACTGATCGCTCCCAAAAATTAAATAAAACTTACAAATAGACACCATGAACATATATAATTTTATACAATAGATGCCTTTCTTTCTCCAATTTCTTGCACCAACTCAATGGGATTTCGAGGGTAATGATTCAATCTAGGTTAGAGTCATGATGATGATAACTGTTAATTCTCCGGAGAACTAGAAATTGAAATGTGAGAGATTTAATGAGGAAGACCCCATAGATGCAACCCAGTAAAATAAAAAAAGATTTTTTTGTGAAGAGTGAGAGAGAGGTAGATCGATGGTGTGTTGCTTCTTGAGATACCTCAGAGATAATAGTTAGGGAGAGGATGAAATGGTGGGGAGAGAGAGAGAGAGAGAGTGACTTA